TTAATTGTGTGTGTGTGTGTGTGTGTGTGTATCACACAGAACATCCCAAACCATCTCATTCGACTATACACCCACTTCCCAAATAGCACCCTCCCTCCTCCCATTTTTCTGGTCTTTTTAAGACAGGGTCTCCCTGTAGCCCCAGCTGGCCTGAAACTCATTATGTAGACCAGGCTGGCCTTGAACGCAGAGATCTGCCGGCCTCTGCCTCCCAAGGGCTAGGGATTAAAGGTTTGTGTGCCACCACACCCGGCTGGATTTTTTTTTACTTTTATGGTCAAAAAATAAAGCAAAGGTAACATAACAACTCAGTCAATATAAAGACATTCAAAGCAACAACTGAAGAAAATTAATATTAACTGAAAGTTTTTGAAATGAATCTTTTTCTCTCAAATAACTTCCTGAATAGTAGATATTTATCACATACCAATTTAACTGCTTCCTGGGCAGCTTCCTTTCCACAGAAGGTGATAAATGCGTACCCTCTGTTCTGACCAGACAGTGGATCCATCATGAGACGGAGATCCCAAATAGGACCAGCCTTCTCAAAAAGAGGCACCAACTCATCCTCATATAAGTCTCTTGGGATTTTACCTACAAAGACCTGAAACAAAACCTCCTGTCAGAATCCAGCATAAGCATTTAATTTGTGAGCCACAGAGACAGTCTTCCAACCCTTGCATAAGAGTAAAGTGAGAGAAGTTAATGGTAGAATGAGGACAATTTGAATCCCGCAGTTGATTCAGAGGGAACCCAAACATCTATTATAAGCTTGAGACCATCAACAAAAAGAAAGTCTATACTGAAAAAATGGACACTGGTCAAGTGTACAAAAACTGGACTAAAAGCTTTAAATTTTTATAATTTGTCTTTTCCTCATTAAAACAAGAAAAGTACAGGGTGGGGTGGCACAAACCTTTAATCTCAGCACTCAGGAGGCAGGTGGATCTGAGTTGGAGCCTGGCGCCTAGGTCCTAGCCAACCTGCCAAAACTACATAAGACAACCCTTCTCAAAAAAAAAATCTGCCTTCATGGAAATATGACATATAATTGTTTTAAAGAACAGAAATTTAAGCTGGGTGTGGTGGCGCAAGTCTTTAATCCCAGCACTTGGGAGGCAGAGGCAGCAGATCTCTCTGAATTCAAGGCCATGCTGGTCTACATAGAGAGCTCCAGGTCAGCTGAGGCTTACAGGGAGACCCTGTCACAAAGAGACCAAAAAAATAGGAAGAAATTTAATGAAAGATTGACATGACTTTCACTAAGTTTTCTCAACTTTAAAATCTTTATTTAAGAAGCAACTCAGGGGCTAGAGAGATAGAGATGGTTAAGAACACTGGCTGTTCTTACAGAAGACCGGGGTTCAGTTCCCAGCACCCACATGGCAGCTAACAACCATTTGTAACTCCAGTTCCAGGAGATCTGATACCTTCTTCTGACCTCCATGGGCACTGTATGACACGGGTACACTTACATATATGCAGGCAATACACTCATAAAATAATTTTTTTTTAAAAAAAGAGGGGATTTCCAAAGAAGTAAATTTGAGCTAAGACCTAAGAATGAAAACTAGGCAAAAATCTGATGAAAAAGCATTCTAAGTTGAGGGAATAATTTTAAAAATCTGTGAAAAGGGACACACTTAACATATTAAGAACAAAAAAGCAGACCAATGCTGGAACTGTTGATTTCAGTGAGAGTGGTGGGCAGACAGAAAAGAAGAGCCAAATTAAGTTAAACCACAGTATGAGTTTAAGTTTCCTCCCAGATTGTGTTAGGAAGCCATCAGAGCGCTTTGGGCAGAAAAATGAGGTGTGACTTAACATTCTAAGAGAAACATACTGACAACTGGGTAAAAAAACAAAGTATATGACCATTCAGGTTAACAGGGCAATCTAGGCAAGATATGACAGTAGCTTAACATAGTAGTGATAGCTGTAAGTAGTAAGAATGTGAGAAATGATGGCCATTAAGCTATACTGGATTCAAATCTACATTTTTAAAAATATTTTTATGTGGGTGTTAGCCTGAATGTGTGTAAGTGCACCCATGTTGTGTAATGCCCAAGGAGGTTAGAAAATGGCATCGGATACCCTAGAACTAGAGTTACAGATAGTTGTTAGCAGCCATGTGGGTGCTGGGAATGGAATCAGGATCCTCTGCAAGAGCAGCCAGAACTCTTTAATGGCTGAGCCATCTCTCTAGCCCCAAATCTACATTTTTTAGATATCTTAAGCAAGTTTCTTAATTAATGAGTCAATTTCCTCATCTGCAAATAGCATTTAGCAAGAAGGTTCAACCTTGAAGACAGCAGAGTCCATATCATGGTCTTTTTGTTCTTTTTTTTTTTTTTTTTTTTTGAGATAGGGTCTCACATACCTCAGGCTGGCCTTAAACAAACTATGCAGTCAAAGATGAGCTTAAACTCCTGATCCTCCTGCCTCCACTGTCTAAGTGCCAGGATTACATGTATGTGTCATCATACCCACCAACTATGTTTTCTTTTTTTTGAGACAGTCTCATGTTTATCAGGGCTGGTCCCCAACTTTGTATATAGAAGAGGATGACTCTGAACCTCTGACACTCCTGCCTCCACTTCCCTAGTGATGTGATTAAAGTATAAAAACAGTTTGCTTTATGTGGTACTGGGGATGGGACCTAAGGCTTCATACATGTAACACTCCAACAACTGAACTACCTTCTTAGCCTATAATCCATTTGGAGAAGCAGCAGGTACTAGGAATTGAACCTACCATGAACACATGGTAGGGAAGTGCCCTACCACTGAGCTATATCCCTGTATAACCAATGTTTAGAACATTTTTGTATGTTTATATGTATTTGTGAATTTCAAAATTGTAGCAATGTGTGTGGGAGGCTGGAGGTACAGCTAAGGGTAAAGACTTCAGTCTAACCCCCAGCACCAAGGGGGGGTTAGATCATGAAAGTAAATTTTGCTCTATGTTTCTACTATTATAATAAAATGGTATTTAAGCTTTCAACATTCATAATTTCTTCCTACAAATATATACACGCAAAGAAACAGCCCCTATATATAACACATAGCTGGGTCAATTATTTATATTACCTCTGTAACACTTATGCCTTTATTTTCAGAACTAAACAAGTTTACTTCAGTAAGCTAAACTAAAATGAAAAAAAGTGTTTTTCAAGAAAAATAATTCAAGAATTGGTAATCAATCACAGAAGATTTTTAACAAAAACAATTTATACTCGATAATAAAAATCCAGCTTGTGCTGAGCATAGCAGCTCAAACCTATGAGCCTAGCACTTGGGAGACTGAGGCAGGAAGACCACAAATTCAAGGCCAACCTGGGCTACAATGAGAACTTGTCTCAAAAAGAAAACAAACAAAAAAACAATACCGCCTAACTTGCAGCTTTTCCATACAAATACTACTTTTGTTTAGAATGCCAAGAGACAGAGATCAATAAAGCTCCCAGTATTATAGGCACTGGGGTCCATGAAGACATAGATCACACTGTGGGACTGGCTCAGTGGTTAAGAGCATTTCCTGCTCAATCATGAAGACCAGAGTTTGGATCCCAGCACCCACATACGACAAATGCCTGTGACTCCAGTTCAAGGGACTGAACATCTTTTTCTGGTCTCCACAGGCCCCCGCACACATACGTGAACAAACATCCACAGAAACATATACACATAAACACAATACAAAAAATTTTTTAAAAAAATAGACCACACTGAGCCAGGCATGGCGGTACATGCCTTTATTTCCAGCACTTGGGAGGCAGAGGCAGGCAGATCTCTGTGAGTTCAAGGCCAGCCTGGTGTACATAGCAAGTTCCAGGACAGCTGGGGCTACAGGGAGACCCTGTCTCAAAAAGACCAAAAAAAAATTTTATTATTTTTATGTTATGTCTACATGTTTTGCCTGTATGCATGTAAATGCACCATGTTGCCTCTCAGAGGCCAAAAGAGGGTGTCAGATCCACTGGAACTGGAGTTACAGAGAGTTGTTAGCCACCATGTGAGTGCTAAGAACCAAACCCAGGTCCTCTGGAAGAACAGTAAGTGTTCTTAACCTGAGTCATCTCTCAAGCCCCATTATGTAGGGTGTTTGGGGTAGGGGCTACATAGACCTGGTTGGCCTCAATCTCACCAAAACCATCTGCCTCCCGAGTACTGGGATTACAGATATAAGCCATCATAGCTGGCTCTAGCCTATTTTTCTCACCATATATTTTGAGACAGGGTCATGCAAAATTAAATTGCCCAGGCAAGCTTTGAGCTTGAGATTCTCCAGCCTTAGCAAGTAGCTCAGATTATAGTCTGAGCTATCAGACCCAGATGGACCACATTTCTGTATTGCTCAATGACAGAAGTGCTCACCCTGGGTTTGATCTCACTACCAAAAAAATAAAATATTTTATATACTTAACACTTATGTCAATTTCAAAGGGTTCATGGCAGAACAACAACATTAAAGATGAAGAATCAGGGAATGGAGAGATGCCTCAGTGGTTAAGAACACTGGCTGCTCTTGCAGAGAACCTGGGTTGATTACTAGCACCCACATGGCAGCTAACCACCATCCATAATTCCAGTTCCGGGGGATCCGACGCCTTCTTCTATCCTCCTCAAGCACTGCTCAACACAGGTGCACTTACATGAAGGCAATACACTCATAGATATAAAATTAAAAAAATAAAATATTTTTTTGAGGCAGAGGCTGGCAGATCTCTGTGAATTCAAGGCCAGCCTGTTCTATACAGCGAGTTCCAGGCCAGCTGGGACTACAGGAACACCCTGCCTCAAAAAGACCAAAAAAATTAATAGTCACAAACTGTAGATGGTTCCAATATCATTAAGTACAAAAATGTTTAGAGTGCTTATCCATTATAAACAATAACAATCTTTGCTTTGGGTCACCTAAAAACTAAATTTTAGACTTTTTTTTTTTTTTTTGAGACAGGGTCTCCTTGCAGCCCCAGCTGTCCTGAAACTCACTGTGTAGACCAGGCTGGCCTCGAACTCACAAAGATCCACCTGCCTCTGCCTCCCGAGTGCTGGGATTAAAGGCATGCGCCACCACGACCGGCTTAAATTTTAGCTTTTTAAAAAAAAAAAATTATGGGGCTGGAGAGATGGCTCAGAGGCTGAGAGCACTGACTGCTCTTAGGACCCAGGTTCGATTCCCTACATGGCAGCTATGAACCGTCCTTAACTCCAGTTTCAGGGGAATCCGAAGCCCTCTTCTGACTTCCGAGGCACTGCACGACATGGGTACACTCACATGCATGCAGGCAATACACTCCTACACATAAAATAAAAATAAAATATTTTTTTAAAAAATTATGTATTTTTCCTGCGTGTATGTAAGTGCACCCATGTCATGTAATGTCCAGAGATCAGAAGAGGGTATCAGATACTCTGGAACTAGAGTTACAGGTGGTTGTTAGCTGTCATGTAGATGCTGGCAACCAAACCCAGGTCCTCTGGCAAGAGTGGCCAATGCTCTTAACCACTGAACCATCTCGCCAGCCCTATGTTTTAGTTTTTATGAACATATAATTTTAATAGTCTTAAGATCTCACTGCTTCATTCATTCATTCATTCATTCATTCGTTCATTCATTTTGGTCTTTTTGAAACAGGGTCTCCCAGCAGCCCCAGCTGTCCTGGAACTTACTATGTAGACCAGGCTGGCCTCGAACTCACAGAAATCCACCTGCCTCTGTGTCCTGTGTGCTGGGACTAAAGGTGTGGACAACCATGCCCTGCTTCACTGCTTCTTTTAAAGTTATTCAAATGGCTTTCTTTTTTGAGACAGGGTCTGTCTCATTACCTAGCCTTGGCTGGGCTTGAACTCAAGAGATCTACCTGCCTCTGCCTCACAAGTATTGGGATTAAAAGCATGTGCCACCACACTGGGTTTGAAGTTATTCAAATGGGAGTCTGAAATTCCTCTTTTTTAAAATATATATATATATTTATTTTTATTTTATGAGTATGAGCATATTGCCTGCTTCTGACCCACGGAGTCAGAAGAGAGCACTGGAGCCCCTGGAAATGGAGTTATGGATGGGGTTATTAGTCACAATGTGGATCCTCTCCAAGAGCAGCCAGTGCTCTAAGCGCTGAGCCATCTCTCCAGCCCCAGATTCTTATAACTCTTAATAGACCACCTAAACCTTAAACTCTAATAGCTATCTAACAATAATACCCCCTAAATAATGACCATCAGTATTTGACTCTCACCTAAGTAGTTATCATTTTGTTTTCCTTCATCAAGTTGTTTAAAATATTGTTTGATGCTGAGCTGTCAAAGGCTCATGCTCACAACCAAGAAACTCCTACAACCTGGGCATGATGGCATGTGCCTGTATTTTCAGCTGTTGGGAGGTAGAGCCATAGCTACTTGGCAAGTTCAAATCTAGCCTGGGCTACATGAGATCCTGTCTCCAGGGCCAGCAAGATGCCACAGAGAGTAAAAGCACATGCAATACAAGCCTGATGACCTATGTTCAATCAGAAAAAGTCCCTGCTGTAACTAAAAAAGGTTACTTTCTGTCACCTAGCTTTCTCCATTTAAAGAATCAGAGCATGCTACAATAAAAGCAAGCACATGGGTCGGCTGGAGACGTAGCTCAGTTACTAAAGTGCAGGTACCTACATGCAGGAAGCCCTGGCTCAGACCCTCAGCACTGTATAAATCCCAAGTAGTGGAGTACACCTGTAACCCCAGCACTCAGCAAGTGTAAGCAGGAAGATTAGAAGATGAACTCCATTACATTCGAGTTGTAGCCAGCCTGAGCTACAAGGGACCCCATCTCAAAAAGGGCAGGGGGGAGTATAGAGAACAGAGCTCATTCTTCGTTCAAGTGTGACCGATACACTCTCTTTTTTGTGATTCCACATCCTGTGTAATTCCCTCCCATTAATAACATCTCTCATTAAATAGTAAGGGCATTTTATGTGATGAGGGAAGAGCAAAATGGGAAAACACAGTTTAAAAAAAGTACTGACACTACAAAACAAAACCGAGTCAAGCATGACAGCTTACAACTGTTAACCCCGACACTCAGAAAGCAGAGGCAGAATTGGCAAGCCTGGTCTGCATACTGTGTTTTAGGCCAGACAGTTACACATGCAACTGCCTTAAAAAAAAAAAAAAAAAGCTGGGCACAGTGGCACACACCTTTTAATTCCAGCACTTAGGAAGCAGAGGCAGGCAGATCTCTGTAAGATCAAGGCCAGCCTGGGTTACACAGCAAGTTCCAAGCCGGCTGGGTCTACAGCGAGACCCTGTCTCAAAAAAACGAAAATAAGCAAATAAATAAATAAACAGTAAAAATAAAACACAAGCTAGATATGGTGACGTATGCTCACAACTGCAACACTCAAGAAGGAAGGAGGATTTCAAGCTCAAGACCAGTTTGGGCTACATACTAAGATACCATCTCAAATAAAAGGTCTGGGTTTAGAACTAAAGCACAGTGGCAGAACACATGCTTAGCATATATGAGGCCCTAAACGCAATCCCCAGCACCAAAAATACAAAATTAAAAACAGAAAAAACAAGCGCTTCTCTCATATAACCCCAGCAATGGTTATTACTAGCAACCATTTTAGAAACAAGTTCAAAGAACTGTTTTCTGCATTCCTTTTCTTTAGAAGGTATTAAGAGTATCTAGAGAGGCCAGGCATTGGTGGCCTAGCACTCGGGAGGCAGAGGCAGGCAGATCTCTGTGAGTTCAAGGCCAGCCTGGTCTACATAGTGAGTTCCAAGCCAGCTAAGGCTACAGGGAGATCCTGTCTCAAAAAAGACAAAAAAAAAAAAAAAAAATATCTATACAAAGATTATCCTTGCTAATAATGGCCACAGATACACAGATACTCCCAATATAACAATAGCCACACTTTGAAAGGAATCAAGTACTCTACTGCATTGTACAATAGATGATATAGTTAATAACTTGGAAAGATTTTTGGCAAACAGCTAAAGAACACTTACCTCTGTTCCAATTCCAGGTTGAACACCAGAGTACACATTGTCTGGTGGAGGACCACCATACTTCCTCTGTCCTGTGGTTACATCCAGAGTATAACCAGTCCTCTCAAGCAAGGCCTAAAGATAATTATACATCTGTTTATACTTGAAAACATAGACACAGACACACATGAATCAGTGTACTAATATTTTCTAAAAGGTACTCCAACATCTCAGAAAATGTATTTTCCAGTTAAATTCAAAAAAAGGAAGGTGAAACCAGGTATGGTTTCATAAGCCTTTAATCCCAGCCCTTAGGAAGCAGAGGCAGGCAGATCTCTGAGATGAGGCCAGCCTGGTCTATATATTGAGTTCCACACCAGCTTTGAGGGGAAGAGAGGAACTCCAAGGAGACCCTATCTCAAAAAAAAATCCCAAAAGTTGGGGGGGATGAAAATATAGCTCAACTGGTAAAGTGCTTTGCTAGGCAGAGGAGCCCTGGGTTCTACTTCCAAACCACATAAAACGAGGCATGGTGACTCAGGTCTGTGATGCTGGCACAAGGGAGATAAAGGCAGGAGAATGAGAAGTTTAAGGTTATCCACAATTATATAGCAAGTCCCAAGCCAGCCTGGACAGCCTGGCTACATGAGGTCAGTCTCAAAACAACAACAAAAAGTGAAGTAATCCCAGCACTCCAGAGATGTAGGAAGGAGATTTCAGAGCTCAAAGCCTGTCACAGCTGGTTGTGGTGGCACAGGTCTTTAGTCCCAGCACTTGGGAGGCAGAGGCAGGCAGATCTCTGAATTCAAGGACAGCCCGGTCTACATAGTGAGTTCTAGGCCAGCTGGGGCTACAGGGAGACCCTGCCACAAAAAGACACCCCCCCCAAAAAAAACTACAAGTTGTATTTCCTATCTATCCATCTATACAAACACCTTCAACATTAAATAACATTTCAAATTAAATCTGGGTTAGACCTGAGTGGTAGAACACTTGCTTTTAGAAGGTGTGAGGCCAGGTTAAGATTCCCTAGAGCTGGGGGAAAGAGGATAGCTCTGTAACAATAGCCATTCAACTAGGAATTAGGTTGATGGGTTCAGTAAAAAGCCCTCTATTTACCTTTCAAAGCAGTTTACCTAAGCAAGCAATGATGGTAACAATTGGGAGTTACATAGTGCAGACCACATACAAGGCACTACTCTAAGTGCTTTGCATATGTTAATTCATTTAATCCTCACAACTCCAGGAGACTGGCACAACCATTACCATATTATAAATTGTTGGAAGGGAAAATTCAGAAGGAGGAAAGTAGTTATCTAATAATACCTCTCTTGCCAAGAGAAAAAGTTTCCAGGGATGATAGCTCATGCCTTTAATTCTAGCACTTGGAAGGCTGAGTCAGGATTACTGTGATCTTGGGGCTAGCCTGGACTACATAGTAAGTACAGGCCTGCCTGAAGACAGAGTCAGATCCTGTCTCAAAAACAAAAACAGCAACAATGCTTATAAAAATAAAAGTAAACCAAGCCCAGCTTGGTGGCACAGGCCTTTAATCCCAGCACAGAGCAAGGGGGAGCTCTGTGAGATCAGAGGGCCCTATACTGAGGGCCCTATAATGTAGCTGTGGCTACAGAAGACCCTGTCTCAAACAAAACAAAACAACAAGAACACAAAACCAAGAGATCTTACTGGACTAATTCAAGAAACTTTCATCAGAAGCATCAATAAATATCACTCTGACAGAAGAGCAAAGATTAAGGAAAAGCACAAATTAAGGCTTTTCAAACACTGCCAACTACCCATGTCAGGTTTTTACCTTTATCTTTGCTTCATCAGGCCCCTTTGTAGATTCTTGCACTTTGCTGCCCTGTTTCTCTCTTTGCCTGTAGGTCTTCATAACTCCACATAAAAATGCACTTTTGTTCTAAAACAAGCATTCAATAAAGAATCACCAGGAATCTTTGAAGAGTCAAATACATAATTAAATTTGTAACACCAAAATTTTAACATAATTATTCATTCCATTCATTCAACAAGTATTGATTTTCTTAAGAGGTTAGTTACTATGTGCCAGAGGCTGGAGCAGACAGCTTATTAAGACAGGGCCTCAGGATGCTTACCATCTATAATGAAAAAAAAACAGAGTCGTGCATTTGCTAATATTAATTCAATCTGGACTATCTTCTCCATCTTTCTCACATAGCTAATAGCTATAAGTATTCCTCCCAAGAAAATAAGAGCAGATAACCCAAAATGTTTTTTTTTAAACCTGAGCAACTCAAACATTTAAAAGCTTAATAGTAACAATAATAATCAAACCATGGCTTTTAGTTTTTGAAATAACTTACTATACAAAATGCTGGGGGAAGATTGCTTTGTACCTGCACTTCTGAAACTCTTTGCCACATTACATCTTTTCTCCCTCAAACTATTTTTTCCAAGAAGAGATAGTCACAAACAGAAAAGACCACTTCTCCACAGGGGGGAAAGTACAGTCATAGTAAAACTGCTTCAGATCATTAACTGCTCAAAGGCATTTGTAATGAAATGACCTTACCTGAACATGTGATAAGTCACTTTCCTTGAACTGTTGTAGTACAGACAGAGCTCCTTCTTCATTAAATTCCCTGAGAGCATCAATTGCTCTTTCATCAAGATCGACATAAGCTACCAACCCTAAAAATTAAGTTGAAAAGGGTAACATTATAGCAATAAAAGAGGTAAGCTAGGCTGTCTTACTGAGGTCTGCTAAGAACTGTTATACTTAACACTATCTCTAACAAACTACATGTTCATTTAACTACAGGCATATACATAGCTATACAAACACTTATATAGCAGGCTCAAGGAGAAATATGAAAATAAGAGATAAACTATCAACATCTATAAACATGAATTTTAATTCATAAAAATAATTTTAATGGAAAGATCCTAAAACTCATTTCCAACTCCCCAAACAGCGTTAAGTTTTGAAAGTCTTATGTACATACTGTACTAAAGATTAAGCATTCATTTAGCAAATTCTGGTTTAGAGTGGTAAGAATACACTGTATTTCTCAAGGATAAACGGTCAAGTTGTAGGCTGATACAATTGTTTACTATAGAAAAGGAGGGGAAAATACGAGGGCCAATTTTACTTAATTCTTTCCACTCAAAAAGTGTCAAAGGCTTTCCTCCTTAGCACCAAAAATAAGCAAATGCATTGATCTGAGCATCTACTTTGCTGCAGTCAGAATGTGGAAAGGCAGAACTTTAATCTCTTCTACAAATGCAAATGCAGCTTGCTAAATCAATTCTAAGAGCTGTATTTTAAGCATTCTTTTTTTTTTTTTCCTGAAGCAACAAGCTGAGACTTCAAAGATGCTGTGGCATTCACAACACTGTCAATAAAGACCATCTCGTTCAAATGGCGTAAGAGCACTATGGGCTTACAAGTCAATTATAAGAAATGCATGTGCTGTACTGTACATACGCAGTATACTTAACAACACATACAACATCTACTACACTTAAAATAAAATTTCTTAATCCTGCTAAGTTTGTGTTATATTTATCTCTTCGCATATGAGGAAGCTAGTTCAGAATTGGTCCCATGTAAAAATGGAAATATTTGACAGAGTAAAACCCTCAAGTCCTTATGAACCAACACTAAAAGTGATTCCATTTTGGTAAAGCCAAAAAGAACTTTATTTCATACAATAAATTGTAAATAAATGCAATGCTACTTGCAAAGGTACTTTGTTAAAAAACGTCATGACATGTTTTAAAAGCTCAAAATGAGCATGCCTAAGTGAATGAATTTCCTTACTTGAATATTTCACACCACCACCCAAAGCCACAACTCAGGACAATCATCAATCCATTCTGTCAATCCAATCCTACATCCAAATCATCCACCTCTTAGCAGTAACAGAACACTCTCCAGGGGCGCATCTCTAAGCACATCACTGCCAGTTCTCTATGGCAGAATGTCACAAAAAAGTTCCTGAGGACTGGTTTTCAAATGGGACCATCACCTAGGAGTCATTTTTATAAGCCATTTTAGTGTCTAAAATTAAACCTCAGCTGCCCAGATTTAAAGTATTTTTAAGGACAAAAAGAAAAAAAAAAAAGCACAGCTATTTGTCTACTGAATTTAAGACACATTTCTAAGTGAAACAATTCAGTTCTCTCTCCGAATCTGGACAGGCACACAAACACAGAGGAAGAAAAGTTCCATCTATGGCCCCAAAGGAGTAGGACACATTTATTTACGAACAACGGTCCCTAAGGGTAAATATTTCTCTCCCTCTTTAAAACATCAAACCGCTTACAACCGACTATATTAAGATGTTCAAATTTGCCTAAGCACTTAACCATGGGACTTATACATTTAAGGGGAAAAAAAAAAAAAAGACAGCTGTTACAAACCAAACACTTCCAGATTACCGAGAGATGTGGATTTATCTATTAGAAATTAGAGAGGGCCACAAACTCTCAAGGAATCTGACATATGTCATCACTTGAGATGGTAGTCTAACTATTCCTCTTACGCCACCTAATCAGCCCTAAGCTGATTTAACAATCACTTTGTAAAAGCTAAAAGTAGAAAAGTAAAAGCAAAATGATGACTGATTTAGGTTAAGGTAAAAATGCAAAATTTGGTATGCTGAAACATACATTTTAATTGGTAGTAAATCTAAGACAATTGATGTACCATTCTTAAACAACTCAAACTGCATATTCAACACTAAGAAGGCTTCAAAATAATGAAATAAGAATATCAAAGTCAAACCCAATATGCCCTCAATGAAGGGAAAGTAATATTCAGCTCTACACAGATCAGAAACAGTAAGCATTATTTAACCTTTAAAAAAATCTATAAAATTCAACGTGGTTTGCCCTCACTTTCATAACCAGTCAGAAACAAGAAATGTATATTATACCTGTCTGAAATATTTCATCAAGTCTTTCTGCCACCTTCTGTGGGAGGCCTGCCTCTATCAGTGTCTTGTAGTGTTCTGTGTGAGTTACACTGGAAGTATCCATTGGTTCTTCCTCTTCTTTTAACTGTACCGCATTACCATTCACCTGATTAGCCATTTTATTATGCTGCTGGAAAAAATTCAGGAGCTATATTACATTAAGCCAGAAATAACTAGTTTGAAATGCAAGATTTATCTAAACTAATTTGTACACATGCTGCTAATAAACACTATCCAGAATAGTATCTTAAGCCTTTTGTGAGTATCTGACCTAAATTTGCAATAATAATTCTGTGAAACTACAGAAAATGTACATGGAAGTATTAGTCCTTAAGGAACTTCATGTACACTATATTAAAGGGCTTGAATTTATTAATGACATAAATGTTGATTAACAAAAGCAGCTGTTGTGTTCTGGTGAGCAGTTCAACAAACCACCACAAAATCCTAAAAACCCCTCAGCTCTCAATTATAGATTTTTAAAGTTTGGTAAAAACAAAATGAAGACCCACACATCACTTAATCAAGGTTTAAGGACTTTCAAATTGTCCTAGCTCTGCTTTAAAAACAACATAGGTGTGAGATCAGTCCATATTGTATCTACTTCAACATACTGGTGGCCTCTCCATCTCACTTAAACAGGGGAAAAAAAAAAAAAACACAGCTTTCACATTAATTTTCGTTCTAAGATTAATTTGCTATTCCCATTCACAGATTTAAAAGAAAAAATGACCAAGTTTAAAAGCTAAGCCATTGTTTTAAGCCTATATAAAAGCTACAATTGAGGCTGCTTCTTTTAAAAAAGAATCTTGAGTACGTGTTGAATTTTTCATATCAGTGAAATAAAGTTGCAAAAGCATATTGAGGAATGGACTGCTTCCAAATAAGTTCACAAACACTACCTAATTCGAATAAACCTCAGTCAGACTTCTCAGATTAACCTACCAAAATCATTTTGTATGTTCAGCCTGTATATAATGCTGAAATGGATCGATTCCCTGAAGAGAGTAACTCACAAAACCATACAAGGCCAGTCTCTATGCTAACTCAAAGTCAGGGAATTTAAGTGCATTTGTCTGTGGTAAAATTATAATGTGATGAAGATAACTGGCGGCAGAATAAAGACCATCACAGCACACACTGAAATAAAAGATGAAGGTGGATCTCAAGAAAACGCCTGCTTTCCTTGAAGAAACTCAAACGATACCTAGCCAGCAATGTAAAGAAACTACAAATCTCCTAAAAAGCTCAGACAACATAAAATAACCACACTTCCAGATTACTTACAAACACCGTGAAAATGCACCAGGTGCAGTTTTTGACTTGAAACAACTTCTCACTTGAAAATCCACTGATACTAAGTCGAAGTTCACAAAAGGAGGAGGAAAAGGGCAAGGAGATAACAGTGAGAAAGGAAAAGTGGAAAGTGTTACTCTGAAAAAGAGCATGACTTCTCATGATCACAGAACATTAGACTCCCTAGACCTCGAATAGTCTACACAGACGCAGACTGCAGTTCATCGTTGGTTGGACAAGCGGCTCTCAAAGCAAGCCTCAGATTCTGATGAACTAGCAAAAACCGAAACATTCAAAACTGGCACAAGAAACTACTATTCCGTGAGATGAACGGATTTACTCATTGAGAGAACCTAATTCTAGAAAGATGCATTCTAAAATCAAACTCTTTGTGAACATACACTTGTTTTTCCCATGCTCTCCGCCCCCAAACACTACAGTAAGATCACCAGAACTCCAAGTTCTTGACATCACAAGACCTTCACAGCACTGCACCTTCGAATACTATTAGTTACAGAAGAGGCAAATTAACCAGTTAATGAACATCTGGCAAGGTGTTTTTTTCAGAATATATGCGTGAAGCAAAAATGACAAGTTGTGTATTAAGCACAAGATAGAAATTTGACTATCACCAATTTATTGCCAAAGCTCTACAAGTTGATAGTGAAATTGTTAAATTTTTTTCCAAATTTTTGTCAACTTTTTAACCAAAAAAAAAAAGAATTAGACTCCAGAAAATAAAACCTTCAGATCAAGGAAAAACCTCTCTTCTAGCCGAATACAAAAGTGCTCATTTAAAAGACTTTTATATTATGAGACCATTTAAAACTCATGTCAATTCAACACGATGCCACACAGCCAAACCATATTTCTGGATGCAGCAAATATACTAAGGTGACAGGAATCCTTTGACCTAAACATTTTTGAAAATAAATGTATAGCCATTTCAAGTAAGATTTAAAAGTGGCCGCTGGGAGATTTGGGAAGTCAGTACTAGCTCCTCCCTGACTTTTGGTGAACATCTCTAAGACTTCATGTTGTAAGAAAAGGGCTTTAAAAGCACCAACGGAAACTAACGGTTATCTCTTGGCTCAGGAGTCAAGCCCTTATCACTGCGACTGACTCATGACACAAATTCAGCCTCTGAAGGACAAAAAAAAAAAAAAAAAAAAAAAAAAAAATTAAAATTTTTACAAGGTAATGTGAAAAGGATTGAACCTTCAAGAACCCCATTGGCTTTTCAAAGTCTTTAAATTTTGGCCACGCGGTGTGGGAAAAAAAAGAATCGCTTTTCCAATCTGCAGCGCGTAGGACATTCTCAGAATTACCTAGCTCAGACGCCGCTCCACACCTAAGTGTCACGACCTCTAGTAGTCATTTTTTCCTTCAAATCTCGGCTCGTAGCATGCACGATGGGGACCGGGAGGGACCTCGTCCTCTCCGCTTTGGCTCCCACCAAAGTTTGCTCTCCGCTCGGGCAACCTCGAGATTTGTACCCCGCCCTCTGGCCACCCCACCCCTTCGGGCGCGACCCGGTTCTCAGCACATCCCGCTGCCGGCCGGACGATCCCGGAGCCAGGCCTGACCGCGGACGCGGGAGAAGCGCTGGGGCCGAAGGGACGGCCGAGACCGGAGCCGGAGCCGGGCCGCACGAAGCGGCAGGCGGAGGCGGGAACAACACCGCGGGACCCCGAAAGCCGCGCGGAGGACCGAGGACCCCGAGGGTCGGAGGAGGCCGAGCGAGGCAGAGGGGGTGCCGCGGCGGGACTCAGGCCCACGGCTGTGCTGCCGGTCCCGGACGAAGCCGCCCCCGGCCCATCCCCACCCCCACCCGCAGGCCTTGGAGCGAAAAAAGCCAAACTGGAGGCCGGGACGCCGAGCCTGAGTCGGGCCGAGGATCAGGAGGTGGGGGAGGGCTCCAGGCCCCTCCCCTCACGGACCGGCGCTAGACTCACCAGGGCAGAGCGGGGGGCCGGCGGCCGGGCCCGTGAGAATCACCGCGAGGTGCTTTGAAAACGACTAGAAATGGCGCGCGCGCCACCCCCTCCCCCCCGTCATGGACAGAGACGCGATCCCGGCAGCACGCGGGGTTTCCCGGAACTGCTTCCAGGGACTCCCAGCCGCCAAGCAATCACCTCACCAGGAGGTGTGACAGACAGATCAGCGGACCAATGAGAGAGAAGCAAAGCGGCCCACGCCGGTCGACTGCGACAGCCAATCGGTGCGGCCGTCGGCTGAGCCAATGAAGGTGCTCAGCGCCCCTGGCTGCGGCGCCTCCGGGGCGGGGGCAGGCACACAAAGGGGTCTGTTGGTGGGAGCTCGGGGTAGTGGCTAGGCTTCGGGACACCAGGTCCTGCGTGTCCGAGGCTCCTCCCTCTTCGTCTACCACGGATTGGAGGCTGAAAATCTAGGCCTCGCGCCGCGTGGCCGCCTCCCGAGCCCCGCCCCCTAGGGTGCGCGCCGGCAGGGCTCCGCCATGGCGTGGCTATGGGCCGCAGGGGTCGCCGGCCCCAGTCCCAGTTGACTCCTGGCCGGCGTGCGTTCGTCCCAGACACACCCTTCTCCGCTAGATCCTGTTAGAACACGATTTAAGAATGATTCGTTTTCCTGGAGAATTTTCTGTAGAACATCATCTCTTGGAACCATCGAAAAACTGCCCGTATCCCTCCCTGGCTGCTTTCCACGCTGTGATAGAAGTCGCTGGAGGAGGCATCATCGGAGCCTATCAAGTAGACAGGGCACCTAGGTCCACGAGTGAAAACCATACAGGGCGAAAGGTTCGTGCCCAAAGGACACTATATTCCTGTTATTCCTAAACCTGTCCCAAACCCAACAACCATCTGACGCCCCAGAGTGGAGGTCAAAAGGTTTGTTCCCAAATGCGCTTTTGAGGATCGTTAAGTTTCTCAAAATGTATAAACCAAAATTTAATTATTGTTAATCCGCTAGAGAGTTTGTGTCCGAAAAAGCAGGTGTTGGAAACTTGATCCCAGATGCAGCAGTTTTGGGAGGTGGGGCCTAATGGGAGGTGTTGCAGTCACCAGGAATCCACCCTCAAAGGATTAATTCTGGTGATAGAAAGGCTTCATGCTGTGAGTTTGATGTCTGGTTCGCTCGCTTGCTCTCTTTTGCCCTTCCACTGTGGGATGACATAGCAAGAAGGCCCTTATTCCGCTTGCCCTTCAATCTTTGACTTCCCACCTTCCAGAATTGTAAGGATTTAAACCCTGTTCTAAGGCCGGAGAGATGGCTCTGCGGTTAAGAGCACTGGCTGCTGTTTCAGAGGACCTAGATTGGATTCCCAGCACTCACAGGCGACTAACGACCTTCTGTAAGTCCAGTTCCAGGAAAATCTGACGCTCTCTTCTGACTTCTGCCTATGCCGGTAAGTGCACCTGACACACACAGGTGCACTTACATACATACAGGCAATACGCTCATACACATAAAATAAAAATAATAAATAAACCCTGTTCTGGAGACCAGGGAGAAGGCTCAATGGGTAAGAAAGCTGTTCAAATCTCCAGCACACAAGTGAAAAGCCTGCTGTGCCCACATGCACCTGAATACCAAAGCGCTAATGGGGATCGAGACAGAATTGCTGAAGCTTGCTCCCAACTAATTTCCAGGTTCACTGAAATACCCTGTCTCAAGAGAATAAGGCAGTCGGACATGATGTTACATGCCTTTAATTCCAGCACTCAGGAGGTAGAGGCAGGTGGATCTCTGTGAGTTCAAGGCCAGCCTGGTCTACATAGCGAGTTCCAGGCCAGCTGAGGCTACAGGGAGACCCTGTCTCAAAAAGATTTTTAAAAATTATATATATATATATAAAGAATAGGGCAAAAAATGGAAAAGTGGTACACATCAAGTCCTCTGGCCTCCGTTGGCACCCCCTTACACATACACAAATAAGTAAATAAATTCCTGTAGAAATTTCCCCATCTCTGGAGCTGCAGAGATGGCTCAGTGGTTAAGTGCTCTTCCAAAGGACCTGGGTTCAATTCCCAGCACCCTTATCTAGGCAGCTCACAGCAGCCTGTAACTCCAGCAATGCATTCACATACTACATAGACACACACATATACATGTAATTTAGAACAAAAGTTTACAAAAAAAAATGCCTCATCTCAAATATTCTGTCATAGAAGTGCTAAGCATTTTAAGACACCCACTAGGTATGTGAAACTTAAAATGCTTAGAGCTGAGGATGTAGCTCAGTGTTAGAGTACGCACAAAGGGCTCTAAGTTCAGACATCAGCTCAACTCAAAAGAAACAAGACAGCTCAGTTGTTAAGAGTGTATACTGCTCTGGGCAGAATACCTCAGTTCAAATTCCCAGCACACATAACTGCTGACTCACACCCTGTAACTCCAGGGGGATTCTATGCCTCTGGCCTCAAAAGGCATGGACACTCAGGTGTACATACCCCCATGCAGACACACACACATAAACATAATTTAAAATAATTTTTAAAAAGATGGGCTGGCAGATCTCTGTGAGTTCAAGGCCAGCCTGGTCTACATAGTGAGTTCCAGGACAGCTGGGGCTACAGGGGGACCCTGTCTCAAAAATACCGAAAAAAAAAAAAAAAAAAAAAAGATGGGCTGGAAAGCTAGGTGTGGTGGTGCACGCCTGTAGTCCCAGCACTTGGGAGACAGAGGCAGGGGGGGCTCTGTGAGGTCAAAGCACGAAAGGGCCACATAGCACGGTCCAGGGCAGCTGGGGCCCCCGGGCAACACCCCCTCCAAAAAAAAAAAAAAAAAAAAAAAAACGTGGGCTGGAGAGCTGGCTCAGCAGTTTTAAGAACACTGGTTGTTCTTGGCAAAAGACCTGGGTTCAAATCCCAGCACCCACATGGCAGCTAACAACTGTCCAAAACTCCAGTTCCAGGGGATCCAGTGGCCTCTTCTGTCCTCCACAGGCATTGTATGGACACAGGTGCACTTACCTACATGCAGGCAATACACTCATATACATTGTGCTGGATAGCTTTAGTGTCAACTTGACACACCTGGGTTCAGGGAGCCTCAATTGGGGAACTGACTTCATTGGACTGGCCTGTGGCCATGTGCATGGGATACCTTCTTGATTGTTGAGTGATGTGGAAGGGCCCAGCCCACTGTGGGTGGTGCCATCCCTGGACAGGTGGGCCTGTGTTGCATAAGAAAGGCTGAGCAGGGGCCAGGGGAGCAAGCCACTAAGCAGCGTTCCTCCATGGCCTGTGCTCAAGCCTCCAGGTTCTTGTCCTGAGACTCCTGATGGACTCTTGTCCTTGGGCTCCCTGGTGTACTGTGACCTGGGAGATGTAAGATAAAATAAACCCTTTCCTACCCAATTTGGTGTTGGAGTGATTTGTCACAGCAATAGAGAAACTAAGTAAGACACACATAAAATAAAAATAATAAAATATAAAAAAAGAAAAAAAGTACTGGATCTTGAAATTTTAAAAAAATGAAAGAATGAATATAAATTTAGGAACAGAGCCAGCCCTTCCTAGAGGACATGGTAAAAGTGAGGGACCCTGAAATGTAAATGTTATTATCACATTTATGTGCCTGTAATGCAAAGGAATTAACCTTTTTTGTGCCATTTAGAATTCACTAAAAGCTTTGGGTCATGGGGCTGGAGAGATGGCTTAGCCGTTAAGAGCACTGACTGCTCTTGCAGAGGACCTGCACCCACATGGCAGCTATGAACCGTCCTCAACTCCAGTTCCAGGGGAATCTGAAGCCCTCTTCTGACTGCCACGGCATTGCACGACACAGGTGCACTCACATACATGCAGACAATACACTCATACACATAAAATAAATATTTTTTAAAAAACTTTGGGTCTTTGCTTAGTTTTCAAACATTAAATGAAATATATGCTACCCATGGGACTGGAGAGCTGCCTCAGCAGTTAAGAACACTGACTGTTCTTGCAGAAGACCCGGGTTCGAGTCCCAGCACCCACATGACAGCTAACAACTGTCTGAAACTCCAGTTCCAGGGGATCCTACAGCCTCTTCTGTCTTCCTCCAGCATTGCACGACACGGGTGCACTTACCTACATGAAGGCAATACATGCATACACATAAAATAATAAAATATTTTTTAAAAAGAAAAGAAATATCTGCCACCCAAAAAGCCCTATTTTATTGGAAAGCAATTAGAAAATTCATTTTAAAAACAAATTCTAGCCGGGCGTGGTGGCGCACGCATTTAATCCCAGCACTTGGGAGGCAGAGGCAGGTGGATCTCTGTGAGTCCAAGGCCAGCCTGGTCTACACAGTGAGTTCCAGGACAGCTGGGGCTACAGGGAGACCCTGTCTCAAAAAGACCAAAAAAAAAAAAAATTATAGGCCAGGTGTGGTGGCACACTCCTTTTATCCCAACACTCGGGAAGACAAAGGCAGGTGGATCTCTGTAAATTCAAGGCCAGTACTGCCTACATGGAAAATTCTAGGTCAGCCAGGGCTACACAGGGAATCACATCATCCAGCTTGGCAGCAAGCAACTTACCCACTTGACCCATCTTGCTGGCCCTATTTTCTTTATTAACACATTAAATATCAAGAGTTTGCAGGTCTAATAACTATGAAAATCTTAAAGATCTGGTAGGGTATGTAGATGAATGTTGGAGCACTTCCTATCCAAGTCCTGAGTTTGATGCCCAACACTGAAAAAAAGAAATTGTGAGATGATGTTTCAAGAAATCCATAACTATATTTGGTATGAAAAGGGTAAATTTCTGGGACTGAAGAGGTGGTTCAGTGGTTAAGAGTACTTGCTGCTTTTCAAAAGGATCCAAGTTCAAGTCTCAGCACCCACATCAGGTGGCTCACAAGATCTGTAACTCCAGCTCCATGGGATCTTACAGCCTCTTCTGACCTCCACAGACACGTGCACACACATAGCATATACTCAGACACATACACATAAATTTTTAAAAATCGAATCTAAAAGAGAGAGTAAAGGGTAGATTTCTAATAGAGACCAGGTCAAAGGTGTGGCTTACTCTGTAGTTTGTGGTCTTTATTCACAATGAAAAAAAATGCTAAATTTCAGTTGGACATTAGTGAAAACATCCAAGTTGAAGGACCCCTGAATTCTACTCAGATTCCTTTGAAATCCATTGACCATAAGATAAGAACTTCTATGGTGGGGCTGGAGAGATGGCTCAGCAGTTAAGAACACTGGC